CACCTGTACCATATAGCGTAGCGCGGCGCCGCGCCCCCCCTACCCCCCTCCCAACACACAGACACACACGCGCACTATTTATTATCGGTGTAGAGCGATGGACGTATGAGTATTACGAGAGAGCGCTCAATGTACAAATTGTAAATACAAGAGAAGAGTACATCTTTGTCCGCTTCTGCGTTTATGATTGTAAGTTGTTCGTAGCGTAGGTGTATTATTATACTTATTCTGTTTTAATGTAATTAAATCATTTTATAATATAATTATGTGATCATTATAGACCGTTGTTTTTGTTCCAACTGTACCCCAGAACGTTTACTATTGTATAAAAAATATAGGTTAATAAATAAAATGAGAATTATTAAAATTTGTATTAATATTTGGGTATTATTACTCCAAAACCCCATTCCCATCGCCAAGAAAAAATATGTAACTAGTGAACCACCGAACTTTCGGTTTCGGTAAAAAATCTCCCCTTAGACAAAGTAACATTGGGTTATCCCTATCGCTGATTGAAAGTCATGGGCTCATCATTTATCCCTGTAAATGTTTTTTCGATTTTACTAGCGATATTGCTAATCGAAAGCCACTTTGTCTAGGGAGCTGATTTCAATTTCATCCAAGATACAAAATGTACAGGAAAGACGTACAATGGACTACCACAGATTCCTTGGTCGCAAATATGTACGGTTTGACCTGTCACCTGTTGAACTTACTTTCATCCGAAGTTACTTCATTTAGGCGCTAGAGAGCTCTAAAGTTACATTTATCCAAATATCTCGAAAATCATAAAAGAATTTTTATTCACATTGAAACCATTGTTTTTGTTTCTTAAACTCGTTTCAATATGAAAAAAAAAATATGTAGGGGTTTTAGAGATATTTTAATAAATGTAAAATGAACAGCATACTTTGGAGCCCTCTAGCGCCCAAACAAAGCAACTTTGGATAGAAGTAAGTCGGGTCAGATTGTCATATTTTCGACCAAGGAATCTATGGTAAGACTATCGACTAGACAGCCGTGTAGAATAGACATTCTACACGGCTTTTCCGGACACTTTATAGCCCAAACTTTCGGCCCTGCCGAAATAGAAGTCTTAAATTTGTATAAAAGTAACAGGGAATATGCATGTATGTTTTTCTTTTGAATTTGAAAAAACATATTTTTTAATGGTTAAATTTTGCCACTAAATCACATTATATTTAAAATAAATCTTTGCAGGACTGTTTTTATAGTAATAAAGTGTACTTTAAAAAAGCCTATTGCCGTACGGAATAGACCAAATATATTCGAAAATGCGATGCGATGTTCGATGTCGAATAATTATAAAATATCGATATTCTGTTTAAATAATTTCAATTATCGAAGGTGACTTATAATTGTTATTTCCTTATTAATAAAAAAATAGCCATGAAAATAATAATTCCAATTGGATTATGCACCTTTAGTTATACATGCCTGTTAACTCTGGTTATTTGTATTTATCTGTACATTTATACTGATTTGCGTTTTAATAACCGGCTAAAAGATAGTAATCTTTATTTGAATTTGTAAAGTTAAAGTATATCAATCGATTCCAACTTCTACGAGAGCAAAAGTGAATTTATATAATCACTAAGGTATATGGGGCGTAATTGTCGCGACAAAGCCTCCTGTAATAATAGATATAAAAAAACGATCACTAAGGTGCCCATAATTTCATAAGCGTATCATTGGTTCGCAACACCTGGTCTAGGTCAATCAAGGACAAGCAGAATCAACCAGTTTATTGCGAAATGCCAAATTTAATGAAATAGTCTACTATTTATCTGATATTTCTTATAAGATAGGTATATAGTCAGGCTCACAACAGAGCAGAGCCCCATATTAAAACTACACTGTTCCAATAAAAACATTAGTTTAATTAAAAAAACAGAATACACTTTTTACAGACAACATCGCATAAAACATATTTCAGCAACAAAAAGTTAAAGTTTTAATTTTATACAATCTACGTAAGATACATAAATGCCTTTATATTTACACATATGCAGTACTTACAATACATCAGTGTATGCAAAAACATCAGGACTGTCGAAATCAATAAAAACAATAATTTAAATGAATAATTATTGGATAAATTTAATTGACTGGTTTCGGCAAAAAAATAATTATTTTATGATAAAAACATTATATTTCATGACACTTACACCGATTAGTTAACTAAACTTAATGTTACAACCAAATGGATTAATAATTCACACAACCCACACATCCAATACAATCCAAATCTCAATTTTTATTATGCACATTAATTTGCTTACTTTTTTTTCACTGACAAAAACCAAATATAACCTTTCGTTCTAGAAATTAAGTACCAAAAAATAGACAAAATAATTTATCTTTATTAACATTTTACAAGACTACATATATTTTAGCAAACACTTTACAATAACAAAAATTATATAACACAAATTAGTTTGGTCAGAAATGTGGCTGGAGGAGGAAATACAAAGATTTTACAAAAAAATAAACAATTTGTTTCTTCTAGGAATATGTAAAAAAGCCAATCAAAGTAAATTTTCATTATTTCAACAAAGCACTTTTTCAAGTATATGTAGAAATGAGACAGATATAGTTACAGAATTTACTCTACTTTTTAAAATAAAATATAATTTTATCATCTTTTACATAGGACATAAATTTTCAAATAAGCAGCCATATTTAATTCATTCAGAGAAAATTAGGAATGTGCTTTAGCATTTTCTTAGTTTTAGCGCAGTTACACAACATTCAGTCTTTCCATACATTTATACATAAATATAATACAAAGAAACTGCAAAAAGCCAATAAATTCGACAGCTTTAGAGGAAACTTAACACTGCTCTCAATGTTAACCAGTTATATGCGCTTGAAACTTAAATCCTTATAAAAACTTTTGTTATATTAATTTTATGAAACTTGAACAAAATAACAAACATGATAACAAATAAAGAAACCGGATTAGTAAAGATTTTCATAGCCTATTTCACCGAAAACTAATCATTGCTCCACAGATAAAAACATACAAACATCTTAATCACTATTGATGTTAGGCGCTTTGTTAGAAGTATCAGTCTACTTTAGTTTTTGCTTAGCAAAGCCTTTAAGGATAAA